CCCCCTTAAAGCGGCCGCGTCCCCCCGCTCCGGGTGCAGGAGCCCGGGAACCCGGAGAGACCCCCGACCGCGTCTCCTGCACTCGCCCGCGCTTTCCCTGTCGCTTCGCGGTTCAGGGATCTGAGTCACCCCGCGACAGCCCCGCCAGGTCACCCCGGGGCGTGTAGGTGGGCACGCACAGGAAGATCGCTATTTTTAACATTTCCATATTGTTTACCGTGGGGCGAAATCCCACAATTCCTTGCACAAAATGCATAAATAATATTAAATGAGCTGCCGAGATACAAAGGGACTTTTGTGGTCCGCTTTCCTTGCTGATGGAGAGGAATAGTGTCACTCCCATTTGACTCGGTAACCCGGCAGCTTCCTGTCTTAAACGCAGAGCTGGCGCGCAGGACACTCCTCCTGCAGACACTTATTGTAAGTGTGCGTGTGTGTGCGTGTGCGTGTGTGTGCGTGTGCGTGTGCAGGGAGGCGCGTGCATACGGCCGCATTCCACCCGGGGACAGCGACCCTCATGAAACATGCATAGCGATCCGGAAGAGCGGGGAATGCAGTGTGCGGCTCCGTTTGCGAAGGGAGAAATCCAGGAGCCTCGGAGGTTCTAAGGGAATCCTTTTTGCCAAGGAGGGGAGGGGTGGCGGTTCAGCTAAGACTTCAAAACCAAGTCGTCCGCCCCCCTCTAACTTCTCTACTCTGGTTGAGGAGCTCCCAGACCGCTCATCTCATTTTCTTGGTTTTAAAATCCTTTAAACTAATTTTGCAGGAGAGCAGGGCCCATTTGAAAGGAGTATTAGGAATCCAATGGCAAGGGTGGGAGCCCCAGTTGGTTTCTCCCCTCCTCTCTCTTCATCTTTTCTAGACTTTCCTTCCAGCTGTTGTCAGGATGTCCAAATGGAAGTTCTGTTTCCTCTTCTCTTCCCCCTCTCCCTTGGGCTCCTTCCCATTTGCTCTTCTCTACCCACCAAACACCCGTTGTTACCCCAGGCTCACCTGTCCATCATCTAAAATGCATTTTTATGGAAATGTGTGAATTCCTGGAAACATCCGATAGGGCAGCTCTGGGGGTGTGGGAGCGTTTGCATGCCATAAGTGCCCTCAGGGCAGGGGAGGTGGGGAGGCCGCAGCCTGGCATGGACACCCTAGGGCTGATTGGCCTTGGGCAGCTGCAGGGTGCTCAGCAGCCGAGACCCCCGCACAGGCAGCCAGCGGGGAGCTGCCAGGCCCTGAGTGAACTTGGGGAGTCAGGGCAAGCATCTCCAAGGCAGTGTGGCCTGCCAGGCCCCCTGGAGGCCTGAAGGTTGCGCCCTGGCCTTGCGAAGCTCCCTTCCCGGGGTCCATCCCAGGTGCTGTCCTTAGTCTGCAGGCTTCAGAGTGCTGGCGGGGCTGAGATGAGAAACAACAGTTCCCACAGCCTGCTCCCAGGAAAATTACCCCCAGCCAGGAGGGGAGTGGTGGGGGAGGAGGTGCTGGGCTGGCCTCCTGGTCACTGGAGGTGACTCTGGTCAGAGTGTGCCGTCTGTCCTGTGTGTCTAGGGCAGGGTGGGGAAGCCCGTTCTCGCTGGGGCTGGATTCCTCCACTTTTTCTTCATTGGAGGAGTCCTTACCAAATGTTCTGACTAGGCACACACCCTGCCAGGGGTCCTCCCCGAGTCTCAAAAAAATCAAACTCCACAGTCTACCTGCCCCCAGGAAAATAGGGCTGGTGAGAGTTTGTGGGAAGTCTTATTAACACTTACTTGGTTTTCTGGGGGGAGAATTTTCCGCAACTCTGGAAACCCTGATGATCACCAGTCAGGAAAGGGAGGGTCCAGTGACTTTGGGTCTCCTGAACATGGTGTGGGGGGAGGAGCGGCTCTGAGCTGTTTTGCTTCCTGCAAAACCATCCCAGGTTAATGGCTCCTCCTGTCCCATGAAAGCCAATTAGGCGGCTTCCTGAGAAGTATTTTCTGAATTCATAGGACTCTTTGCCTCTGACTGCCTCGGTATAAATGGCCCCAAGACGCTGGGCTTCAGCCCTGTGCTTTCCTGCGACGCAGACCCCAATTCGTGGCTGCAACAGAGACTCTGGGAACAGAGCGTCACCTCCGGGGCGCCTGGCGGGCCGGTGGGCGGAGACCTGGCCGCGCAGGGTCTGCAGGCTGGGCCGTGGGGTTGGCTGGAGGAAGAGGAGGAATTCGTGGGTCGCTGTTGTGGAAAGGAGGAGGGTGAGAGGTGGAGGGAGGAAAAGGAGAAAGATAAATAAATGAAGAGAGAGATAACTAAAGGGTACCTGGCCCCCAAAGTGGACCCAAACACGAAACAACTCTGGGAAAGCGTTGAGAGGGGTCACCGTTCAAAGGGCGGGGGAAGCTGGGATGGGGCTGCAGAAAGTTGAGCTGCCCAGGGGCTGGGCGGTGCTAAGTTCCATACACACGGAACTCTCCGCAAGGTGTTTCAGGAAGCTTCGAGAAGCGCGCGTGAGACCCTGCTCCAGCTGGGACGGCGCCTCGCGTTTTCTGGTGATGCGGGGCAGTGGCGTGTCTCTCCTCCGCTATGCCAGCCCCGTCTGCAGCGCGCCCGCGAGCCCAGCGCCTCCGCTTTCTCCCGCGAACGACCGCCGCCCTCAAGGTCGGCCTTTCTGTACGGATCAGACTAGCCCTCACCGGACATTTGTTTCTCCCGGGAAGGAAAGTGAGGCTCTGGCCCAGGAACCCCGTTTTCCTTCTAGCCTCACCCGGGTATTGGAGAGCGCCCGCAACACCCGCTTGCGGAGGACGGTCCTCCATATTTCCCAGGCTCGCTGCACAAAGAGGGGCCTCAGAGAGGGCGAGCAGGAAAGCAGATTCCAGATGCCGTGCGCCTCAGGACAGGGACGCTAGTTTTGCAAACAAAACCTCGGTGAAGCGCCCCGGAGACACCGGGCGCCCGGCTGCCGAGCTAGGCTCCCGTTTTTATTTGAAAACGAGGCCAGAGAAGGGAGACTTTTCCGGACCCTCTGCATCCCCTCACTCGCCTCGCTTCTCTAGGTTGACGTGGTGACACTTGGAAAAATGGACTCAATGAGAGCCATTCGCTCGCGGCGGTCTAGTTACTCGCGGGGCAGAGACGCCCAACAATCCCTGACAGCGAGATCTCCACCCCAGCCAAAGCAGGCCGGGCCAGCTCTGCGCCCCCGGCCAGGAGCCGAGCCCCGCAGGGCCAGGCCCCAGGCGCCGGGCGGGGAATTGGGGCCGACAGGAGAGAAACACCTTCCCCCGGGCGAGCAGAGAGCCACCCTCGGCTCCTGGTGCTGACGCTCCGACCCGGCCTGCCGGCAGACAAAGGCCGAAACGAAGGGACGCGGGGAGCAGGGGTGGGGCGGGCGGGGCCAACCGGCGCAGACGTTGCGTTTCTGCGCTCACCTCTGAGCAAAGGAGGACCCGCCTACAGGCCCACCAGGCGAGCTCAGGGACGGGTTCTGGGAGGCTGGGTCTAGGGTCTGGGACTTCTTCCGAATAACCTTCGGAAGGGAGGGGTTAAATGCGGCAGCGGAAAGGGCCGTTGCCCTGGAAAGGGCCGGGAGCGGCGTAGGAACTGGGGTGCACAGGCCCTCGCGTGCCCAGCGCTTCGCCTTTCCCCGCTCCAGGTCCGCCAGGGGCGCGCTTGGCGCGGACAGAGCCTGGTGGGTGGGTTGGCGCCGACAGAAGCTCGGCCGGGGAGGGGGCGGGCGGGCGCATTGCACGCCCTGGTTCTGCCTGGATCGCTGGAGAAGCGCCTGTGCTGAGCCAAAGCTCCCTGGGCGTTGGGGAAGCAGAGTGGGCCAGGTGCCCACTGGGGACCACTCTTCTGTCCTGCTTGATACTTAGCCCAGGCTCGCCCGGGGAGGGGGGCAGCTGGGGGCCGGTGGGCAGATCTCCAGAGCTGGCGTCTAAAGATGCAGAAACTGTCCCTCCCCTGGTTTCTCTGGAAAGCAGTCACTTCTGAAGGAGAATCTGAAGGATGGCTCTACTTGTGCTAGCAACCCCCACACCTAAACCAGGTCCTCTGTACCCGCTCCCCCTTTCGGCTCTCCAGCGCCAGGGGAGCCTCATTCTGGGTGACCTGTCTTCCGTCTTCCCAGGAATCACCTTTCCTTGGCAGCTCCCTGCCTGCTCTCTTATCCTGTTTGACTGCTGTTCTTATTCCCTTAAAATTTGGACTCCTGTGGAAGGTGGGCCCACTTTCACTCAAGGCACGCCTGAGACTCCCCAAACAGGCCTGCACTCTGGAGTCTTCCGGCAACCCTGGAAGGGGCAGGTTTGGGAGCACAGACTGTTTCACCACCTAATGCCTGGATTCTTACGAAAATGCCCCCTCAAAATCGCAGCAACCCAGAAGAAAGTGGCACCTCTCAAATAATCCAGTCAAATAAGTAAAATTAGTTTGGCAAAGGAATTTGAAGAATGGCACCCATGGCTTGAGCTAGCTAAGCATACCAAACAGGAAGGAAAACACAGAAAAGGATAATGAGCCTTGAAATACATTAGCCACCTTCTCCAGCCTTGCCACCATTCACAGATGGAGGAAATTCTAGTATGTATCCGCCGTCTTCCTTTTGACCTTTGGAAAGAAAACAAGATGTTCAAAAGAAACCCCTGAAACACCAGTCCCACCTCCCAGGGCCTGACGTTTTCTTCTCTTCTCTTCTTTCCCCAAAGGCTACAGGTAATCACAGAGAGGCTAGTGTAGCTTAAACTCCTATACAGTGACTTCCCAGCATTTTTGGAAATAGGATTTCCGTAGTTAGAGATTTACAGAATATTAGGCAAGTACAATCTAGATTTAACTCAAACTATCTGGATCCAGCCCAGCCAAACTACCTACAGCTTGTTAGATGATAATTCATTAGTCTAGATTTCACATGAGATAGAAAATATCTAAACAATCACCCCCACTCTTAACTGTCACAACTGAATCATGCTTAAGCGGGAGAACTCAATTAATTTATATAAGTTGGGGGAAATGTATTTTTGAAAACATATGTTTAAGCTAAAGTCATGAATTGATTTTTCATTTATCAAATATAACTATATAAAGATATATAGTTTTATATAAAAAGGCAACAAAATTGCGAATTAAATTCAAACATTTCCTCTACTTAAATGATCAATTCCTCTGAGTTCAACAAAGTTGGCCATTTCTTTAGCACGAGCATCTTTAATTGACATACGTGCTTACATGTATGGTATGGGGGGATCCCTGTACCCAATCAATCCCTGTGTTGAGTATAGAAGCTTGTGTGAAGCGTGGCGACCTTTTACAAGCACAAAGCCTCAGTAGTGACCTTCGTGGACTCACATGCGGAGGGGCACTGTGTCACCCCTGCATCATGGACTCTTGCCTCTAGCCTTGTCCAAGGCCCAAACCACCTTTCCCGGGGATGCCGTGCAGTCTCACTCCCACCAGGGATGGGGACCTGCTGTCCACATTTGGACACACTCCCATGCTTTCCCTCTCATCCCAGCACTTCTGGCTCCACTTAAAGGAAAGCAGTAAAACAAGATTTCTCAGTTAAGGCACATTATGGAAGTGCTCTGTTTCTCCTCTAAAAAAATCCTCTTTTCCTCTAGAAACTCACACAAATATTCCAGTCCTCACCAGAAAGGCTGTGTTGTAGTTTATGTTATGGAGTTGCAGGGTTTTGTGTGTCTCACATCAGTTAATCCCCTAAGACACAACAGCCTCTGTGATGACGGCAAAGTTGAGCAACTCGACACCATTTGGGACATGAACACAGGCTAGGAGAAAGAAACGGGATACGCGCTAAGGTTTCCCACGTATGGAGCGAATGCCCTAGAATTCCTTGGGATTTACACCTCCCCATCTACCAGGAAGGAGAAATGCGAGCTGTTCTCATTCCCTGCCTGCTGTTTGTTCTCTGTTCGTACTGCCAGGACTAATTTTGGCCGCTGCGCAACCTTTGGGTTACAGATGTTAGGGGGCCGCGCCTAGGGGGAAGGGGACTCTCAGCCCCGGCCAGAAAGTTTGGTACTAAGGCGCTGGGCGTGCTCCCAGGGCAAAGTGCGGGTTCCTCAAACGAGGAAGGTTGGGCGGCACTTAGGGTTTTCTGTCTTGTTTGCAGACACAAGTTCAGTTGCACCTCGTGCAGAACAGCCCTGAAAGCTCAGGCTTGAAGACGAAATGTGGAGCCCAGGCTCCTTCGATTGAAAACCTCGCTACGAGGACACTCTCCGCAGTCGCCGGCCAGAAAGGATTTCGAATCAAGATCCGCAGAGTGGTGAGCAACTCCCAGGGTCTGAGGCTGAGCTGACTGCAGGCTGGTAGCCCTTCTGCCCGTAGGAGAATCTCCTTTCTGCAGAAACTACTCCTGGAAAACAAAACCGAGTGAAAAGAAGGGCAATGCGGGTCTGCGCGGAGTGGAGCTCCCTCCCCGGGGAAGGAGGCGCCTCGCGCTGGCTAACTCGCCGGTGGGGTGCAGGTAGGGGCAGACTAGGGTGAGAAGGGCGGATCGCGGAACACAGGTCCCCCGCGAGTCTGAGGGACAGGGTGCAGGCGCATTCCAGGCACCTATGGCAGTCCAGTCTGCTCTGAGGAGCGGGAGCCGGCCCCGGGCTCTCCACATCTCCCGGGAATCCAGAAGCTGGACTGCGGGGCAGTTGTGTCGGTGGGGGAGCCCCTAGCTGGATTTTCCTTCCGCTTGCTCCCTTGATCGAGTGCCCACGCCCGGCAGGAGCTGGCTGTGTGCCGCCAGGGGTGGGTGGAGGTGCGTGGGGCGCGGGCCTTGGCTCACTTGGGTGTGTCCCAGTCTTTTTCCTCCAGAATTAGAGGCCTCTGCAGGGGGCAGAGCCCCTCTCCCTCTCTCCTAACTCTCCTCCCAACCTCGACACGGCCTGAGCTAAGATGTGGGGAGCTTCCAAGGCTGTATCCCTAGGAGGCCCCGAGCACTTTTCCTCCGAAGGTCGAGGAAATCAGGTCCCTTCTCTCTCCCTAGCGCCCTCTGAGGAAGCCGCGAACCTCTGGGCGAGCATGGTTTTACTGGGGATTCTTAGAGACCGGCCCTGTGCCCAGCGACGCCCGGAGGGGAGAGGGAGCTCTTTGGAGGGGCGGTGTGGGGGTGGGTGTCTACACTGCGTCCTCTGGCTCGGAGCAGGACCCGGTGATGCGCCCTGGCCGAGCTCCTGTCTCCTAGGGATGGAGGGGACTCGGGCCCTGTCGGGACCCTTCGACAAGGAAGGCCCGGGGAAGCCTGGATCCAACAGGCACCGGGATCCAGGAGGCAGACTCCTTGGTTCCGAACGTTTCTTCCGGAGCGAAAACTTGCTCCCGGTTCCCCCAAGTCCCTCGCAGGCTGGGAGGTGAAGGGAGGGACAGAAGCTGGGCCTCCTCCGCAGCGCCCAACACCCTGGGCTCTCCGGGCCCCGGGACTCGGCTCGGGTGCGTGGAGGGACGGCCTGGAGCGCAGATTTGTGAATGAACCTCGGAGCTCTTTGCAGCTCACAGATCAGAGGCTGCGATCGCCCCACCGACGTGGTCCAATGAGCCTCTGCAATAAGCGCTTAGCGACGAAGCTGGGGCACCGCCTGGACTCTGCGGCTCCGCGCTGCGCGGGGCCGGACGGGGGAGGGGCCCAGCCACTGCAGCAACTTCAAAGCCGGTGTCGCGACTCAGCGATGGGTGGGCTCTCCCCCGGCCGCACGGTTCGCAGGGGCCTCCCCTAACCCCCACCGCCACCCCGCCGAAACGCCCAGAGGCGTTCCCAGCCCAAGTGATACGTGACTCTGACTCCCGGTTGTCTTCGAGCCCTCCGCTCGCGCGTCCTTGGCGTCTCCCCCGAGACCCGGGGGGCGATCACATCCTGAGACCTAATCCGGTTACTTCCGGGCGCGGGTCTCCACCGCCTCCCGGGCTGGTTGGACTCACTTCCTAAGTAGCTGTCTCATTCACAGCTCCCGCGCCGCCAGTTCCTCTTTCAAAATTCAAGTCTTCGGCTGCCTCCCTGAGGTTCTGCGTGCGAAGGGAGGGGAGGGGAGGAAGGAGCAGACACCCACGTGTGCCCGGGAGGGACCCACACAGACTCCCCGCTCCCGCAGCAGAGGCCCTGGGCCCCCTCTTCAGAGGGAAATCGATGAGCAGACACTAAGCGACGCGAGTCCCGGCCCCTTCCCCGCCGGGGGATCTCCGTGCGTTCCAGAAGCGCACCTGGAAGCCATTCTTCTAGCGTAACCGTCGCCTCCTAAGCATCTCCAGCATCTTCACATCTCCTAAGCATCTGCACATTTCTGCGCTGTTTTCTGGAGGACCTCGGAGAGGCGGAGGGGACGATGGGGTGCCGTGGGGGCAGGGAAGGAGAGAGGTCAGGGGTTACGCAGGATTATGGCTCGGCTCGGTGACCCCTCTCATCTTCCGTGGCCCAGGGAGGGGATCTGTAGCGAGGGGTCCGGACCTCTTTTGCAAAACCGAACTCTAGGGTAGGGCTTGCGTCCCATGAAGCACCGGGGAAGTCCAAATGAAGAACGCCGGCGAGCAGCCGCGAGCGGAAGGCGGCAGGTTCTAGGGGCCCCGGAGGGAAGAGAGGCATGCATCCCCAGTGACCACGGCTCGAGGTGGCGTGTCTGCTCCGCACCCGACTACAACCAACCCGGCCTGCGCCCCTCCACGCTTGAACAGGGCGGGTCCACCCGGGCGATGAGCTCCGCCGGTGCAGCGCAGCCTCAGCCCGGTGCCTCCCTCCCGCTTG